AAAAAAAAAAAAAAACTCGAAAACCCTCCACCCTAAACCCTAAACCCTAAACCCCCTAAAGCTGCCCCCAACCTTCGACACTGAAGCTGGTGTGGGCCCTTCCTTACACTGTAATCATCAAGTGTTCAGGGTTTAGGGTTTAGGGTGTAGGGCTTAGGGCTTAGGGCTTGGGCTTAAGACCCCAAAGCCTCTCCCACAAAAGGAATTTTGGTTTGAGGGTGTGGGGTAAAGCGAAACGTCCCCTTCCACTTTAGAACTAGATTCTCGGGCGGGAGGTTTGCGATTTATCCCTAAATCCTAAGCCCTAAGCCCCAAATCCTAAACACTAAACCCTATACGCAGGAGTGGCGGCTGAGGCCGAGCCTGGCCATGAGCGTCCTGAAGGAGCTGAGGAACTTGAAGCGTGCAGACTTGGTGGCTGAGGCGGGTTTAGGGTGTAGAGTGTAGAGTTTAGGGTTTAGGATTTAGGGTTCAGGGTTCAGGGTGTATGCTTTAAGGCTTGGGGGCCTGAGGGCTTGTGACTTGGGGGGGGATAGCCGCTTGAGCCCCCGGGATATTTAAAGTAAATATGTTCACCGTGTTCGGGAAGCTAGGACATGTTTGCCTTAGAGCCAGACTGTTTGGAAGTCGCAGCTGGTTGTTGTTACGAACTGTCCAACAATTATGTGAAGCACTGTTAATCCTAGGCAGGGTTAAGGACAGTTGAGATAGATAGACTCACCTTGAACTCTAAATACAAAACCCTGAACCCTGCGCCCTAAACCCCAAACCCTAAACCCTAAACCCTAAAGCCTAAACCCCAAACCCCAAACCCCAAACCCCAAACCCCAAACCCCAAACCCTAAACCCTAAACCCTAAACCCTAAACCCTAAACCCTAAACCCTAAACCCTAAACCCTAAACCCTAAACCCTAAACCCTTACCCTAAACACTAAACCCTAAACCCTAAACCCTAAATCTGAACTGAGAACTCGCCTCCAGAGGTTCTAGAGGTGCTCCACAGAGAGAAGGTGCCGCTCGGGATTGCGCCGTACGCGTGGCTTGGGCACTGAGTACTTGGAGGTTCATGGTGCTTACTAACCAATTAGGGTTGAGGGTTTAGGGTTTAGGGTTTAGGGTTTAAGGTTTAGGGTTTATAGCTGTACCTGTAACCCACTTGTAAGCCCCTTAAGTGCCCTAATCTGGTCATCAGTACAGTTAGAAGTAGATTGAGAATTGGTAAATAAGTACCATGAACCTCCAGTTAGGGCTTAGCGTTCAGGGAGTTCCCCCTTAGACTATAACAGTCCTTAATAGGGATTCTAGTACACCCTGTTATAATTCCAACCCTTTACTAAACCCTAAACCCTAAACCCTAAACCCTAAACTCTAAACCCAGTATAAGGGGGAACATCCCAAGTTTACGGTTCCGTTTTTTGTTTGGGGTTTGGGGTTTCGAAAGCCTCTTGGGCACCAAGACCCGGCTGTATCCGAAGCTGAAACAGTTTAGGGTTTAGGGTGTAGGGTTTAGGGTTTAGGGTTTAGGGCCTGAACCATTTGCAAGCCAACAAATCCAGCTTGTTTCGACACAACTCAGCCAGAAAGGTTGGGAATGAGCGCCAGCCTCAAAGCCAAGCAGTGGCAGGCAGCATTGCAGATGTTTCAGGTGATTCTGCTGGAGACGTGGCCTGTGTTTGATGAAACAGGGTCTAAGGTCTCAGGCTAGGGATGTTTCAGCCATGCCTCGTGACGTTTTTGGTTAACATACCGACAGGGCAGAGCGATATGTTTCTGACTTCTCGTCTAGAACTCCTGCGATGCTCCAGGAAGACTTGGCCCCTGATGTCGTCAACTACAGTGCAGCCATCACTGCCAGCGAGACCGGCAACAAATGGCAACTCGCCCTTAGCCTCTTCGACTCCATGTCCAGCTCCCAGCTGTCTCCCGACGTCATCAGCCACTAGGAAGGCCCTTGGGAGATGTCATATTTCCCCTTGTTGGGTTGAAGAGGGGCCATACCTAGGAGTACTTTTCAGAAGCTTTTAAGAGCCATCCTCCAGGCTACAACGCCACGATCACCTCCTGTGAGCGGGGCAGCCAATGGCAGATGGCCTGGCACCTCTTTGGCTCTATGGCTACCAGCAAGCTTGCTCCCAGCATCATCAGCTACGGTGCTACCATCAGCTCATCTGGAAAAGCCGGCCGCTGGCAACTTGCACTGTGCTTGTTCCGGTCCATGCCATCCGCGCAGCTTCTACCCAATACCATCAGCTGCAATGCCACCATCAGTGCCTGCGGCAAGGCCGGGCAATGGCAGATGGCTTTGGAGCTCTTTAGTCAGATGCCTGCAAAGAAGCTTCGTCCCAACGTCATCAGCTACAACGCCGCCATCAGTTCTTGCAGCAGAGGCGGACGTTGGACGATGGCTTCTTGGCTGCTGCTTGCAATGCCTGAAGCCAAGCTGGCTCCCAACACTGTCAGCTACAATGCAGCCATCAGCTCGTGTGAGAAGGGTGCACGCTGGCAGGTGGCACTGCAGCTCTTTGAATCGATGCCCCAGGTCAAGCTCGCGCCCGATGCCATCAGCTTTAACGCCCTTGTGGCCTGCCTTGAGAAACAAGGGCGGTGGCAGCAAGCCTTGCAGCTGTTCCGGTCCATGCCTGCTTTCAAGCTGACACCAAACGTCCTCAGCTACAACGCGCTCATTAAGTGCGGCAAGGCGGCCGGAGAGTGGCGGCTAGCAGTCCATATCTTAGGCTCCATGCTCACCACCAGTGTGGCCCCCAATCACCGAAGCTACGTCGCCGCAATTAGCTCGTGTGAGGCGGCCGGGCGCTGGCAGGTGGCTTTGCAGCTCCTTTCTTCCATGCATTTGGCCAAGCTAAAGGCTGATGTCGTGAGCTACAATGCTGCTTGGTAGCCCAGTGGTGCCTTTTCCTCTTTTTGTTTAAATTTCAAGGGTCCCTGATAAAGTAACCAGCCCACAAAAAAGGATACCCTTATTTCAATATGGTACTGGCTGCCAAGGCTACGATCAGCTGTTGTGAGAGGAAGGGACAATGGCAGGTGGCCTGTCACCTACTCGGCAGCATGCCAGATCTGCAACTCCTCCCCGATGTCACTCGGTAGGCCCTTGGGACATGTTATTCTCCCTTGGGTTTACGAGGATCATCTTCAAGAGTATTTTTCAGAGGGCTGTTCAGGGTCATCCTAGGTCATCAGCTACAGCGCGACCATCAGCTCCTGTGAGAAAGGTAGCTGGTGGCACTTGGCCTTGAGACTCTTCGACTCCATGCCCAGCGCAAAGCTGACTCCTGATGTCATCAGCTACAACGCCACGATCCTGGGTCATTGTTGAAAACCATGTTATATACATGTTTATGAATACTTAAGCCCAAGAAGGAACCCAAAATGACCATTTTGGAAATAACACCCCCCAAGAATTGTGCAGGATCACTTGCTGCGAAAGGGGTGGTCACTTGGGGACACTTGGGAGTTTTTTTCATCTTGGGTACCATAATTCCTAAGAAACACCCCTAAACCCTAAACCCTAAACCCTAAACCCTAGGTTCCAAGTTCAGGTCAGTGGCAGCTGGCTGTCGAGCTCTTCTCCTCCATGCAGGATGCCGAGATGACTCCGAATGTCGTGAGCCTCCAGACTTCCTAGTTGGTGCACACCTTCCCCTTTTCTTAGTGACAGGTCCTGACCAAAACGCTGTCAACTTGCCATGAAATAAATATTTGTATGTATGTATATATATATATATGTATATATTCATATTTATGCATTTTGTTAATTGATTTATTTGTTTCTGTATTTATTGAATTTGTTTATTTATTTGTGTTCATATTCATATTTATGTGTATATTTATCTTTTATGTTTATATTAAAAGCTTTATGTTGTACATTTATAATATATATATATATATTTGTTTATTTATTCATTTATTTTTATTTTTTATTTATATAGATTTATAGATTCATACATTGATAGATTTATAGATTTATAGATCTATGTTTTATATATTCATATGTTTATACATTTATTGTATCTTACACATTGACATATTTACATATTTATACATTTATACATTTATATATTATACGTATTTTTATTTATATATTATATTATTTTTATATGTATATATATATTTATATAGTTATACATTGATATATACATTTATATTTAACATTTATACATTATGTATATTTATATAAATAAATATATTTTTTTCATTTATTTGTTTATTTATTTCTATAATTATATACGTATATACATATTTATATTCATATATATTTTTAAGCTTTACTTATACATATATGTATATATACATACATACATGTTTTTCTTTGTGTATGTTCAGTTTTGTATTTATATTTATAATTGTTTATCTTTATTTCTGCATGTATTTCTATTGCTTATGCTTTAGTCATAAGTCTAGAGCCTGCAAGCCCCCCCCCCCCCCCCCCCCCAAAAAAAAAAAAAAAAAAGGCACATGGAGGGATAGGGTAAGATCCACACAAGCCTTGCAACAAAGATCGGCATTCGCCGAATGGAGCCTTATCTCTCCAAGACCCAGGGTTTAGGGTTTAGGGTATAGGGTTTAGGCCTCCCTCCTTTCAAGTCCGTCGGCCCCTGTAAAACTGAAAGCCTTGGGAAGCTCAGAGCCCTGAACCCAAAACCCTGAACTTCTGCTAAACCTTCGATTCATCTCTGAACTCTAGGTTTAGGGTTTAGGGTTTAGGGATTTAGGGTTTAGGGTCTAGGGTTTAAGGTTTGGGGTTTTAGGGGTGCCCCAGGTTACAATGCGACCATGTTCTCCTGTGCGAGCCGCTCCCAGTGGCAGCGGGCACTGCAGATGTTCAGCGCTATGTCGCAGGGCTGACGCAGGGCTGAGGTGGTGCAAGCTCACAGGAAATTTGGGTTTAGGGTTAAGGGCTCTACTCCTTTCCAGCCCGCAGGCGCAAACCCCACACCCCAAGCCCTAAACCCTAAACCCTAAACCCAAAACCCCAAGCCCTAAACCCTCAACCCTAAACCCTAGCTTTCAGCGACCGGCCTCCAAGATGGGACCATGTGGAAAACAAACGTCGCGCCCCTGCTCGTGGTTTAGGGTTTGGGGGTTTGGGGTTTAGGGTTTAGGGTTCAGGGTTCAGGGTTTGGGGGTTAGGGTTTCGGGTTTGGGTTTTAGGGTGCAAAGTACTTCCACTTAAGTTAGTATGGCCGCTAGCTGCGGTTCTTGTCTAACCCTAAACCCTAAACCGACGAAACCGTGGGCAGTACAGAGGCGGTCCTTTCCGCGTAGTGTCCACGACGAAGCCCAGGAAGATTTGAGGCTTAGGGTTTAGGGTTTAGGGTTTAGGGTTTAGGGTTTAGGGTTCAGGGTTTAGGGTTTAGGGTTTAGGGTTTGGGGTTTAGGGTTTAGAGTTTAGGATCCCCAGGCGTTGATTGCTTTCGCATGTTTCCGGTGTTGGTCAAGTCGGGGGTGGAAGCACCCAAAAACCCGATAACTCTGCAATCCTACACCCTACAACCCTTAGACCCCCCCGAAATCCCTAAACCCTACATCTCAAGATCCTAAACCCTTGATGTCACCCTGCAACACCTAAATCCCTCCAGCAGACTAACCCTAAACCCTAAAACTTAAGCCCTTGAATCCTCAACCCGCAGTACTGGATGAACACGAATACAAATCCCAAATCCTGACAACCCCCGTTCCCCCAAAACACATTAAACGCCGGCTCATGTCCTGCGACGCCGCAAGAAAGCCCAAAAACCCTAATCCCTAAACCCTAAACATCCCTAAACCCTAGAAAGCCCCACGCCCAAGCTTCAAACCCTGGACCCTAGACACCATCATCCCAAACCCCAACTACCCTAAACCCCCAACAATCCCAAAACCCCAGACCCCAAACCCCAAACCCTAAACCCTAACCCCTAAACCCTAAACTCCCGAAGCCCGAAATCGCGCGGAGGAGCTCCAGGCGGCACGCATGCACGAGTCTTCCCTTCGCCTGGGCCGGCCGGTGACGCAGCAGGTGGCTTATGGTTTAGGGTTTAGGGTTCAGGGTTTATGGTTTAGGGCTTAGGGCTTATGGCTTAGGGCTTAGGGTTTTCCCGGTTAGGGTTTTAGGGTTTTAGGGTTTTAGGGTTTTAGGGTTTTAGGGTTTTAGGGTTTTAGGGTTTTAGGGTTTTAGGGCTTTAGGGCTGTAGGGCTTTAGGGCTTTCGGTTTTCGGGTTTAGGGTCTAGGGCTTAGGGCTTCACGGTTTGGCGTTTTAAAGTTTTATTATTTTATTATTATTATTATTTATTATTATTTTTTTTTTTTTTTTTGGGGGGGGGGGGGGGGGGGGGGGTGAGGGTTCCTAAGCCAAGCTCCCTAAGCCCCACTTGGAGGTTCGTGGGTACTTATAGGTAGGGTCATACGTAGGAGAACTACGGTTATATCCTTAGCTAGGGTACTTATAACCCTATAAGTACCCAATTTAACTGAACCCTGCACCCAACACCCTGCACCCTCCACCCTACACCCTAAACCCTACACCCTACTTATAAGTATCCAGTTTCTTCAAGCAGACTCTGACATGCCCAGCATTTCCCCTCAAAACCTGACACTGTAATCTCCGCCTCAACCCGGAACTTCTCTATGTTAAACATCTGTTCGCCATGAAGCGCCTGAGCACAGCTTACCCCGAAACTCTTAAGGGTTTAGGGTTTAGGGTTTCGATCTTCGGCTGGGGTAAACCCTAAACCCTAAACCCCTACACCCTAAACCCTAAGCCCCAAGCCTTAAACCCCTACACCCTAAACCCTAAACCCTAGGCCCCCGAAGGTGGTCATCATGGACATGAAGGGCTTGAGCTTCTGGCCCGACCCCAGGGCCATGTCCGTGTTCAAGGAGCTGCTTGGACTGGCCTTTTGGGGGGCTCTGGCGGAGTTAGCTTTGAGGGAGTTAAGGGTGTTTGGGGAAAGGGGTTTAGGGTTTAGGGTTTAGGGTAGAGGGTTTAGGGCTTAGGGTTTAGGGTTTACAGTTTGGGGTTTGGCGTCGAGGGTTTAGGGCAAGGTGGGGGGTGGGGGCGGGGTTGCAGGGTGCGCCGGGTTGGGTGGGTTTGGGGGTTTCGGGTTTTAGGGTGTAGGATTCAGATCACTTGACAAGGGCCTGAAGATTGCCTTAAGTAGGCTAATGAGGAAAGGATAAAGAAAGGGTATTTCAAGGGTTCCTCGGGTCCTGTCGACACAAGCGGCTTCAGCCCTAAACCCTAAACCCTAAACCCTAAACCCTAAACCCTAAACCCTAAACCCTAAACCCTAAACCCTAAACCCTAAACCCTAAACCCTAACCTAAACCCTAAACCCTAAACCCTAAACCCTAAACCCTAAACCCTAAACCCTAAACCCTAAACCCTAAACCCTAAACCCTAAACCCTAAACCCTAAACCCTAAACCCTAAACCCTAAACCCTACTCAGGTTCTTGACCGTGAGCCAGAGGCCGCCCCAGAGAGCGTTTTTTTCTCCACGGTTTCAACGTTTAGGGCCGGTTTTTTTTTTTTGAGCCCCTGAAGCTCACCAACCCTCGGGTTTAGGGTTTAGGGTTTAGGGTTTAGGGTTTAGGGTTTAGGGTTTAGGGTTTAGAGTTTAGGGTTGGGGCTTGGGGTTTATAAGGTTCAGCAAAAATCTCCAAACTCTAGGTTAAGGGTTTAAGGGTTTAAACGTCTAGAGAGGGGGGGGGGGGTCGGCTCGTGGGTCTAGGTGGTTCAGGGTTCAGGGGGACGGGGGGGGGGGGGGGTGAGGTTGAGGGTTCTTAGGTTTCAGGAATGTTTGGTATTCCTAATGGGTTTATATTTTATAGGGCAAGGGTGCATAGGGCATGTAGGGTCAGGTTTTCAGGATTTGCTGGAGGGATTGGCGTTCACGGGTGGAGGGTGTTAAGGATTGGGGAGTTTGCAGCCTTTGGCAGGTTTTGGTCAAGGATTGATCATCGGAGCTCTTACTACCTTCCCCCCCCCCCCTATACGCGGTTTCTGAATGAAAGCGACTTAAGGGTCATTGAGCCGCATTGGGGTCTGGAGTAAGCAGAGTGCGGAGTTCGTAGGGAAGTCCATGAGTGTATGACCCCCGACACGGAAGATATTCAGATACCGGCTGCGATGTGCTGAAGAGACGAAAGCTCCTTCCTGCCTTCTTCATCCCCCGGGCCCTCAAAAACAAACTGTTGCACTTTATATCCCTATTCCCATGAACCCCATACGATCCCATAGCCCTAAGCCCTATGAACCTCAAAACCCTAGGCCCGAAGCCTTATGAACCTCAGAACCCTAGGCCCGAAACCCTAGAACCCTGAACTCCTCGACCCCCAAACCCTTGAAGACAGGAGGCTCCAACTAGGGTTTAGGGTTTAGGGTTTAGGGTTTAGGGTTTAGGGTTTAGGGTTTAGGGTTTAGGGTTTAGGGTTTAGGGTTTAGGATAAACCAGTACAGGCAACTACGGCCAACAAGCTTAAATCCGAGCCTCCGAAGTACTTGCGGCTTTCTGAGTCCTGAGTCTAAGTTTGGCTACGTGAGTGTTCACAAGCACTTACTTCAGGAAGCAGGGTTACACGTACCCTAAATATGGTTACAACCATAGTTACCCTGCGTATAGCCATACTTATACGTACCCATGAACCTCCAAGTAAAGTCACGCTGCAGATGCCGCTGCGATGCTGCCAGGTACTACCCGGAGCGTCTCGGGCCGTTCGCTCGGCAAGTGCAGGGTTAACCAGCTCAGCTGAAAATTCACCCTGACCCTACACCTACACACATACTTGGAGGTTCATGATACTTAGTAGCCCAATTATAATTGTACCTATATCGCAATTCTAAGTACCCTGAACCTCCAAGTACCCCTAAACCCTAAACTCTGAACCCTGAACCCTGAACCTCCAAGTAGGGGGTTCAGAAAGGGTTTGATGGTGTTGAGCATTTCTGATTGTTGGGCAGGCGGCTTGGCCTGCACCATTCCTGTTTGGGCCACTGGGGTTTAGGGTTTAGGGTTTAGGATTTGCGGTTTAGGGTTTAGGGTTCAGGTACGATGAAGGGAGTACGCAGGGACGGGTTTTGTGTTGAGAGTTTAGGCTTTAAACCTTAAGGAGGCAAAGGCTCTCACTTTGAAGCCAGCGAAAACTGAGCACAATCACACACACACACACACAAATTCTCGCATTTGCTTCTTACGGACCTTAAAACAGGCTACAGCCCCGAAACCCTAAACCCTAAACCCTCCACCCTGTGTGGGCCTCCCTCAGCGGCCCTCAATATGGCAGCCCGCGAGGGTCTCCAGAGGGGCTGGAGGGGGGGCTAGGGCGTTTCGGGGTTTATGGGGGCTTAGGGGTTCGGGGGTTTAGGGTTTAGGGTTTAGGGTTTAGGGTTTAGGGTTTAGGGTTTAGGGTTTAGGGTTTAGGGTTTGGGGTTTAGGGTTTCGGGTTTCGCGTTTGGGGTATGGGGTTTGGGGTTTGGGGTTTAGGGTCAGATGGGGTTTAGGGTTTAGGGTTTAGGGTTTAGGGTTTAGGGTTTAGGGTTTAGGGTTTAGGGTTTAGGGTTTAGGGTTTAGGGTTTAGGGTTTAGGGTTTAGGGTTTAGGTTGGACATGCCTGGGGCTTTAGAGCTTCAGCTCAGGGAGTGGACGGGCTCAACGACCAGCTGGTCCCCTGAACCCCAAAGACCTCAAAGCAACACAACAGGGTTTCGGTGTTGGTGTTTGGGGTTTCGGGCTAAGCCCTGGTTCTTTAGTAGGGAATGAGGGAATTAGGGCCCTACTATATCTATATCTATATCTATATCTATATCTATATCTATATCTATATCTATATCTATATCTATATCTATATCTGTATCTCTATATATATA